ATGGTTTGAAAATAATGTTTCTGAATTCATTTAGTTCTGTCTCTGCATAGTGAGGTTAGAGTTTGAATTCCCGCGCCGCGCGCGTTCCTCAGCCGAGACGGTCCGAGCCGAGCTCCGAGCTGCGCTTCGAGCCGAGCGACGAGCCGAGTCTGCCGGAGGGAGGGGGAAGGGGAGGGGGCCTGCGTCGGCCTGCGTAGCTATGGGCTTTGGGGCACGGACGGACGGTCGCAACAGCGCCCTACATACTACTGGATGACGTCATGCCTTGTGCCTCTCAGCCTCAGTGCTCCGCACTAGAGTACAAGCAATGACACATCGTTAAGTAAAGTATTATTAATTTCAGTTGTGCATGATGTATCATCTGCTAAAAAGTGCGAACACAAACAGCGGGGTCCGCAGGCGGGCGCCGTGGAATGGACGAAATTATGACGACGCCGACCCGCTGGTCGTGCCCGTCGCGCGGGGTAGTGCCGGTGGAAACAGGCTGGACATCTCGAAGGTATTTCGTCTTGATTTCATGACGAGATTTGGGCGAGGCGCCCGCCGAGCGCCAGGGCTGCGGGGTAGCGCCACAGGGCTGCGCGGCCTGAAACTCGTCATGATCTCGACGTTATCTCGTCATAAAACGGAACATATTGTGACGAGATTCGAGCGACAGCAAGACCACATTGCGAGGAAATTCGTACCACGAAAGTTAACGCTTTTCTCGTCCGCATGTGGTCTTGTGCTCGACTACATTTGGACACAATCTGCTCTCTAAAAGTCGACATGGGCTCGTCTCGGCCCTTAGACGAAAAAATCATTCCACAATATGACCATTTTCAGCCTTCGGCTTCCATACGGGACGTTCTGAACGGGGTAGGCCGCGCGGTCGCAACCACGTCCGGTGTGAAGTACATACCATAGGTAGTATCCACTGGAACGGGCGCGGTCGTAGGTGGCACCGTTTCGCCGCAGCGCGGCATGAAACACGACACCCGTGCTACCCGCCAAAAGCGATGTGAAGCTATGACCGCGAGGAGCGTATGGTTCTGGGGGTCGCAAAAGCCCCGGACAACGACTGTTATCCTTAGAATTGACTATACTTTCATTTAAAATGCGTTCCAGCATACCGATTTTTTTTGAAACAGACTAACGTAGGCTATCTATTAAAAATAATGTAGTCGCAGAGGCAAACTACTAGTATGAGCAAAGCCAATAATATTCCCTTGTTCATGTTTAGTTACACATGGGTAACACATGAAATAAAACAGATACTCACGATTTGTCACACTTTGTGCAAGAGCATAGCAATCCTTTCCCACTCGGTCAGTCAGGTCTTGCCCGAGTTGATTATAGTATCAACAAAAACACCCCAATTAGTTAACAGACTGAGCTCCTTGTCAGGGTAGGGTCAGGTCGGGGAAAAATGAGACACCTCTAAATTGAGGAAAAATGATACATTCGCTTCTCTTGATTTGTGTGCATGCTGTTTGACCTCATTCCTCGTGTTCGGGTGCTTAAAACCCATCTTTTAACATTCGACTTCAATTATCAACCGGTTCTGGGAAGTTAACTCGCTTGTTCTCGTCACGAAACATATCTAATGGAAGCCTGTCCGACCACCTATACGCAAGGGCTCTAAAACTTTTCTGGGGGGGTGTTATACTTTCAGTACTGCATCCGTATTCTTAGGAGTAGAGATTAAGTGTTCTAGTTCATTGGAAAGCTGGGATTTCGGCGGTTCCGTGAAGCTATACAACATCCTGAATTATAATTCTACTGACAGTACGACTAAACATAAGTGCACGGGGAAAAATGAGACACTTGCGTGGGGAAGAAAGATACACTCAGCTCCATTGACTTTACATGGGAAGCCAATGCGTGGAAAAATGAGAGAAAAAATGGACTGGCGCTGTCTCGTTTTTCCCCAAGGCAGGTCCGTATCTTATTTGCTGGGTTTTTGCCTGTCCCAATCTTACCCACGGGTGTCTCATTTTCCCCCGAAATGCGTGTTGGGGAAAAGACACATACTATTTCGGATTCTGCATACACCACAGGTTGCGGTACTAAAATAACGCTGTAATTTCATGACTGGGGTTGTGTTTCTTCGACCTGACGCAGAAAAACTTATCAAATAACTATTTAAATGCTAGATAAGACAAAAGTCATTGAAATGTCTCGTTTTTCCCCTACCTGACCTTAGATGGAGCAATAGTCCAACTCCAGCTGGAAAGAAAACCAGTGTTAATGTTTAAGCAAGGGAATTGCTAAACAAATGCAGTTCAAATTATTGTTACATTCACTCAAGAGAATATCCTGAAGGGTGTTTTAATACAGGCCACTTAGCAGAGGTGAGAAGCGGACCCATACGGACGCGACAATCAGGGACCGCATTATTCCGGGCTTGTTCCGGAACCGGACCGCTTTGCGGTTCTGGTCTGAGGCCGGACTGGACCTGATTGCGACCGCATTGTCGGTTGGGCCAGGATCACTGGCTAGGCTGGGACCGGACGGACCGGACCGGCATAGGAAAGATACCGCATTGCGCGCACGACGCCCTATTCTCTCTCTATCCCTCTAAGCCCTTTGGTAGGGGTGGTACACCTGGGCTGCATCAGCTTAAGCGGGAAGCAGTCGGGAAGCAGACAGCAAACAGCAGACAGCAGATAGTAAATACCGATAATTTCAAAACTTTACGTCCAATTTCGTCATGAAATCTTACTTTTAGGATTCAAATATTATTTTC